GAAAAATAAATGTGTTCTTTTTTTCTTATAAAAGGTTAAATGAAACAAAAATATTGGTGGTAATTTTTGACTGTGTAACTTTACAAACGGCACCCCATAGCCATCCCAACCTCCAAGTGCTACCAAGTGTGTGATCTCAGAGTATTGTTTTAAATCAATGTTATTTTGAATATTTGACCAAAAAGGCTAATTGTAGTTTAAAATCCAGCACTAAGGGTGATCTAATAAAGTTGTGTGTCTGTGTTCGGTGTTGCAGATCCAGGACGTGGCGGAACAAGGGGTAATGTTTGTGGGCTTTCTCCAGCAGCCTGGCGGAGGACCGTATTTCTTGGGTCACTGGGACCCCGAGGAGCTGTCGTCGTTACACTCCAGCCCGTCGCCCATACACCGACACCCTTTCAGCGCCAACACGAGCCCGACAGATCCCACAGAACCTAACTCAAACGACACAGAAGCTGATTTGTGCCGCTGCGAGTCTCAGGATGCCGATGGCGACGATGTGGAATGTAACAGCACACCAGCGTCCAGGGCCCTGAAACGCACTCAGATCTCAGCGCGCAACCCAGAGGACCAAACTGAAACCTCACAGACTGATGTCAAAAAGTCAACAAATGGACCTCAGAATCACGTCCAACACGATGCAGACGGGGTTAAAAACACAACAGATGCCCAGGCAAACCAGTTGAACGTGAAACCACCAGAAACAGCAGGCGCATTAAGTAAATTAGCAGATAAACAACATTTTACCGGATCTGCAGAGAAACAATCTAACTTTTCATATCTGAGAGAAAAAAGAGGCTCAAGCTCTGACAGCTGGCTCAGCTCCCCAGAGCTGGATGATAAAAAACTGGACTCAGCCAATCAAGATGGGCAAAGGAGAGTTACGACACATAACAATAACCATATCAGACTAAAGAGCTCAGAGAAAGACAAAGGTGCAACGTCGCCACCAACGCAGGCCAGTAAGTACGCCAGGTTTTTCTTTGTTTCACCAAATTTATATTTAGCTTGTTAACTTTCCTGTTTGGTGTCGGCAGGGATGCAGCTGTTTGCTCTGTACAACCACACAGCAGAGCTGAATACCTCTCTGAGGTTCTACTCCCTCAGAGTGCCACTTCAAGTGCAAAAGGAGGCGGGGCTGATCACRGACCTCGATGCAAACTGGCTCGACCACATGACTCAACATTTTATCAGCGGAGCACACCTCATTGATGGGTTTTTCCACCTCACAGATGACAATGGTTAGTTTTCTGGATATATCAGAGTCTCAAAGAACATACTTTTTTATTTTACTGTACACAGTTTAAAAATAAGGCATGCAACRAGCGTACATGCTTTAATCTTACAGAAAGTGGCACAGCCAGCTAAAGCGCCTCATTTTCTGAAATATGAGCACAAGGACTGCTCAACATTAGGAAACCCTGCAATAGATATGTAAGTGGTGAAATAGCAATGACAAGAGGGGATGTTTAATGCCTCCAACAAGTTGTGGGGCTTCCCTGGGGTCTCCTCCCCGTAGGATATACTAGGAAAACCGTCCGCGGGAGGAACCCAGGAGGCACCTTAATCAAATAAGTGAAGGTTGGGACTTAGATGGATCAGTTAACTGGGAGCTTTACCCTTCAGCTCAGACCAGAGAAACAACCTCATTAGTGCAGACGAGGATCAGTTAGTCAATTAATCTCCCACTCCATCTTACCATCACTCGTGAACAAGACTACCAAATAAACTAGCCTCAGAGGATGGGTGGCTTGAAGACCTTAATCAAGACAGACCACAAGAAACATGTTGACTTGCTCAGAATAGGGAAACAAAAGCGCCCCAGTGAAACCTGCTATGGTGAAAACACCTGATGATCAAAGCTTTAGTATTTGAGGGGGTCCAACTGGGCCAAAACTAAAACATTATAGGAAGGACTTGGGCCCCACCACCTGCAAGGAGAAGAGTCATGGTTTAGTGCTGAGCAACACAAGTCCCCATGTTACAAACTGTCTTTAAGCATATTTTATCGAATTAACAATAAATAACTTCATATTGTGCAGCATTTGCAAGTACAAAGACAAGAGGAATCTAGGAACCGTAGCTTCCCGGTAGATCAGTACACAGCTTTGACATTTTGATTCATACCATTTATTTCTGATCTGACTCCATTGATTACTGCATCTTCAAATTAAATAGGAAATACCCTTTTCCTCTTGACATTAGCCTGAGAGTTTTCACTGCTTGAGCAGCACCATGGTTTGAAGAGACGAGAAAAGCTTCTTAAATGCTGCAAATTTCTGCTTCGCTGCTGCGTAATGGATGATATGCATAAAAGCCTACCAGCTTACACCATAAGTCTATGCTCAGTCGCCCGTCGATGGAGCTGCCTGAACCCAAAGGGAGCTTGGATCAATAGTTGCTCCTGTCTGAATCCCATACTTCTACCTGTGTTTGTCTAACTCTGTCTGATTTTTTCCCCACTCTTTTCCAGAGAATGGAGTCTCATCTGTGGATAGTGTGTTCATCTTCCAGAGCTCTGCAGAGGAGACCACAAACATCTCCTATGATGCTATTGTGGTTGAGCAGTGGACCATTGTAGATGTAAGTTTTTTTTTAACAATTTGAACTTCAACTCAGAGTTCCTGAGATCTAGAGGGGAAAAAAATCAAGGAGAACACAGTTGGATTGAAGATCAGCTGCCCAGACTTAAATTYAAAAAACTGCTGAATTTGTCTGTGGTTAATATGAAGTAAAGTAGCTTTAAAATGTGATACATGTCCTTCAAATACAAAAAGTCAAAACATGCTTATATTTAAGAAACTTGGCATAACACGATTTTACCCATTTTGTCACATAACTGGCCTATTTTCTTTTGAACTTGGCTCAAAGTGAAACAGGAAGTGACATCAAAGGGGAACTTTTTAAAAAGAAAACACCATGGTCTTTGTTTAAGTGAAACAATATTATTAAAACTCTGACTTTTCTTCATCTCTTTGAYAGTGGCTTAAAATAATCTAAAGAAACAYCAGATTCTTCTCTACAGTCTGTTGTCTGCCATAGWAGCAATGGTCTGTTTACATTCAGACATTCCCTTTAACATCACTTCCTGTTACTTTGCATGTGAATATCCCAACAACTGGTCATCTCAGCAGTGTGAMATTTTATTTGCAATATGTTATCAATACTATCTTTTTAAAAATGCTTTCGTATTTCTTACAAAAAATTGATGTCACAGGCACTTTAAGACCTTGTATTGTTGAAAATAGTTACTGCTCAATGAACTAACTGTACTGATTGAATATACAGTTTGGTTTCTGTCAAACTTTGAGAGTAAAAGCAAAAAATGCAGTATGCATATTTTTAATACTGTGATCCTTTCCAGGGAGTTGTGGTAAAGACAGACTACATCCCTCTGCTCCAGTCRTTAGCTCCATATGGATGGAGACTGATGTGCGTGTTGCCCACACCCATTGTCAAAACAAACAGGTACCCCACCTCTCCTCACAAACAAAAACAACACTTTCATCAACTAAAATAGTCACACAACTCTTTGTTTACCTTTTGATCTTATTGATCAATACCACCTAAACTTAGCCCGGCCTAATTACAGTTTCGCTTTACTGTTGATTGTGAAGTCGTTATTCTTCTAAAACRCTGTCTGCCTCCGTGCCTGTTGGGATTAGGATTGACAGAACAACTCCGGTATGAAGGACAGATGGTTCAGGATCTGACAAATCATCATCATATGCTCATCTGAACATGAAAAAGCTTTTGAGATGTGTTGCCGCTGCGAACAAAAAACACCATCGCTGAACTACCGTCGTCGTGTCACCTGTCACTTTACAAACAGCAGGAAGCAGAAACTGGATTTCAGTGCAAGCGGAGCTACTCAAATGATCATTATGKAGCAGGAAACAGCCACTAAAGAGCTCCTCTTTTCTTTTCTTTTACAGCGATGGGAGTTTGTCGACTAAGCAAATCCTTTTCCTTCAGAGACCCGTTATGCAGCGCAAGAGAAAAGACTTCAAGGTTCGTCTCTTCGCAACATATCTGTCAGTTGTGGTGCCCTGAGGGCGTGTGAATTGATGTCTCAGAATGTGCCATTAAAAAAACAATAAAAAGTTATGTTACTAAATATGGGATGCACAGCGAATATAAACTCACTTAGAAAAAGTCTAATAATAGGCAAGCACTTGGCCTCAAACTGTACAGGAAAGAGGCGTCAGTGAGCAGAGCTTTGTTGTGCTTTGTCAGGTGTCTGCAGAGACGGCATGAAAAGACGCGGCACAAAGGCAGGAAACAAACTCTCTGAAACGTGTTCGTTTGATTTCAGATGCTGAACCTCAGAGGTCGCAGCAAGGCAAAGAAGCATTCTGCCGGAGAAGCGCTGGACGAACAAGAGAGCAAGTCCCTCGTGATCGCGACTGAGATGGACAGGCTGAGAAGCAACACGGAGGAGGARGAAGAGGAGGCGGCAGACGGGGGGGAGAGCAGGGACAGCGGAAGGAGCAGGAGCCTTCAGAGGAGTGTTGAGGAGGCACCACATCAAAAGAGCTTCTCGTTCCTGTTGGAGCGCAGGGCTTCCGTGGAGCATGAGGAGGAGGAAACCGAYGTGGACGAGATCCCGCAGGAGACGCTGGTGAGATGGACGGGTTTATGTCAGCGTGATGCTCGGGGGTTAAAGGAAAAGGTCAGGGCGGAGGAGCGGATCAAACACCAGCTGTTTTCAGGTGTTTGTTGACAGACTGGGCACGAGGCAGACAAAAAGCTTTTTTAACTTTTCGTTGCTGCGACAAACCCAAAGGTGCCCACAGTGTGTCGTGCTCATGGCTCCGTCTGCTCTGGTTTGGGTAAACGAGGAGCTGCTCTCTCCTTTGGGTTTGCTTTCAGATGTCTTACACAGCGTAACCTAGAGCTAGTCTCCAGTCGATGCCTTAAATATCATTTTTYCTCGCGCTTTTATTTTTCACAAATTGTCGTTTTAGGCTGGAATTTTTAATTTCACTTGTTCTACTGAATATTTTCATATAAACTAGAAAAGTCAAGGAAAAAAAGTAGGGTTCGATAGAGCTTGAACCAATAGATCCAAAAATATTTGGGCACATTTTATTTTACTTGTCTCAAATTGCAGTTATGGGGCTGAACAGGATTCTTACCTTTAATTTGAACTTACTTATATAAAAGTCAGAATTACACATCTTCTAATTCTATAACTTATTGAAAAAAWATGATGTCAAGTCCTTCAGAGGAGTCTTTCATTCATGGCAGCACGGTGCCTCAGTGGTTGGCACTGGTGCCTCACAGCAAAATGTTGCAGGGTTCGATCCCCGGTTTGGACGTGGGGTCTTTGTGTGGAGTTTGTGTTTCTYCCACAGACCAAAAACATGCACAATAGGTTGCCTTTAGGCCCAGGCCTACTTATAAAAGAGATCTGTGATCTCAGTGGGATTAGCCTGGTTAAATAAAGGTTAATAAATAATAACAATATAATTGTTTCTGCATCAGTTAAGCAGTAGGTCTGGGTCAGTTATAAGGATCAGATGAGACCTTTGCTCAGAAGAACAGAACAACAAAATGAAAATTTCCCACAAATATGAGACATGGAAATCCAAACCACTCACCATTTTTACCCCTTAATAAAGCAGCTGGCGATCATGTAGTTGCCTGTTTTAGTCTCRTCTGTTAGCAAATAGCTCTTGAAGCATTTGAACAAATCTCAATCTTTGTATAAACATCTACAACTRATGAGGAGTCAACCAGATTCAAGTTGGCCWCCACTAATTCACCTTAGCAAACATTAAAACAGCAATAATTCAGACAGTTCTGTAGATATTGAGGTGAAATTGTGCGTGGTGGTGGCTGAGAGTCTTCCCCAGCACATATYCTGAGCACTAACAGATCATGGAAAACTCTTTGTTGATAACTGGGGTGAAGGGTAAGGAATGTCGTTATAATAAAACAGAAGAAAAAGCTGTAACATGCTATAACTACACTTTATTTAGGCTTATTTAGCCTCATTAAGAAATAGTTAACCTTGAAAACATCATTAAGGGTGATTCATACTTAAGCTATAAATGAAACCATTTAAGTTTTTTTTACATTTACCTATAAAGGGTAATTATTTCTAAAACCAAGATACTCATTGTTTATTCATGCTTAATAACTTATGAAATAACTGTTCTGTTTACTGCGTGTTTATTTATGTAAATGCTCATTTAAATGTATTTTTGCTTATTAAGTATGAATCATCTTCAATTAATGAAGTTTCCAGATTAATTAACCATTTATTAATGATCAAATAAGAATAAATAAGGTGTAGTTATTATGAAGTGTTGCTAAAAAAAGACCTCACTTATGATTTGGATATTTAAGCCCCCCCCAAAATAGCTGCAAATCCTAAAGCCTTCAACAGGTAAACAAGTAGATTGCTGGTCTGGTGTAAAGAATAATCCAGAATAAAACAATTACATAATACACAATATTTCAAAATAACTGTCTTAATGGTTTCAGTCTTACATCACAGTTTTTTAAACTGTTGGGAGTAATTCAATTCAAACATCTTTTAGCTTGATTTGACTGGAGGAAGCCATTTTAAAAGTGACTTCCTCTTAATTCTGACCAATTTGTAATAATTTTATTGTTCTAAATTAAAAGTGATCCAATAAAAACGTGTCCTTTAAAAACGAGCTATTTATTACTTTTTTCTTGGACTACCTGTGAAGTGTAAAAGTGATGTAACATGTAGGTCTGGATATTAAAAAGACCAATAAAGTGTTTCAAAACAAAATGCCTTAAAGTTTTTTTTTTATTTCATTTAAATGTTATGTTCCCTCCAAAAATAGCTTCCTCCATAAGTGGAAGAATTAACATAACCTTCACAGAGACGGCGGCAGGAAGGTGGCGACCGTCTCAGAAGGAAGGTTCAGTGATTTAAACCAATCAGAGACCACCTGGAGCTTCCATTACAGAGCGCTGTGGGACACTTCCTCCTCTACCCTGGGATGAGGAACAGTTTGTGGAAGTGTGTGAGGAAAGGAGACTGATCAGGAGATAAGCACCGTGTACGCATATAACTGTGAGTTAAACAGGCTGGCCAAGGATTTTCAAGTTTCTACTTCACGTTAGAAAAAAAAACATTGATTCAGTCGTCACAATTATTCTAAAATATTTACTTCTGTTTCATCTGCCCAGTCAGGAAGCAGGTGACTTTACCTGCTGATATCTGAAGGTGTGACTGTTACATGTGAAGCTACTGTTTGATTTAATGTTACTAGTCTGAAACATAACCTTTATAAAAGCCACTGTGCTGCTTTAACACTTGGAGGAATGAGATATTCAACAAGCCTGCGTGAAGCTTGGTGACACAGTTTTGTTGAAAAGTGTTACACAAGCAGTTGTTCCTGGTTAGATTACAGGAAATAAAATCACAGCCTTTGAGTCACTTGTTAGGTGAAGAGTGAGTCGGTCCTCCAGTCTGTTACTGGTCAAGCCACAGGAGGGATCAGAGGTTTTCACTTGTTATCGTTCACAYGACGTTCTCCCGACGACCGCCTCTGACCTACCACCATTTCTCAAAGAGGATCCTGTCTTTTGAGAGGCCGAGGTCAGTGAGGCTTTTTGAAATCGCTTCGATCATGGGTGGAGGTCCACACAAGTAGCACAAAGTCCTTTGTGGGTTCACGTGAGCCTGCAACTCCTCCTCTGTGATTCTTCCACCTGAGGAAACACAGACACCTTTGAATTCCATCTCTGCGCCGACTTACAGCTGAGAGCCTGTTTCAAACCATGACAGATAAATCTGCGACAGTAGACCGTGGCAGAACGTGACAGCCACTCCATCATTCTACCTAAATGAAAAACTAAGTTAGTGTAACTTACCTCTGACAAAYGGCTGCAGGGGCGGGTCGACTTCTGCCCTCTGTTGCGTGACGTGGAAGTGACAGGAGAACTTGTCGGGAAACTGTCGACATGCCTCAATGATGGAGCTCTGGAGAAACAAGTTGGTTGTAAATACATTTATGCACAAGTTTTCCTTTGCATAGCTAGACCCACTTCAGAAATTAGTGGTGATCAGGGATGACGTCACGAGAATTGTGGGGAGTTGCCCAAGTCCCAGATGTTAGATTAAAAAAAAAAAAAATGCAGCGATCCACATGCATGATAGCCAACTCCAATGCTTTTATTCATGTAAACTCAAAGACAACTCTCCTGGAGCTGAAATYGACCTTGATTTTATCCTCCTCTGGGTCTCCTCCCAGTGGGACGTACCCGGAACACCTCACCAGGGAGGCGTCCAGGAGGCATCCTAACCAGATGCCCGAGCCACCTCAACTGGCTCCTCTCGACGTGGAGGAGCAGCGGTCTCGTTCTTTCGGTCACTACCCAGAGCTCGTGACCATAGATGAGGGTAGGAACATAGACCGACCGGTAAACCGAGAGCTTCGGCTCAGCTCTCGCTTCACCGCAACAGATTTATTAGCCAGTGTTAGCCGTTAGCGATCTGTTCTGTTGCTCTGTTTTACTCAAAAGTGAAAACGTTCTTTAAAATTAAAAGTTCTCTTCGGCTTGGAAACAGAAAGGTAATTCCTTTTTTTATGTTTTGCTAGTTTTAGATATAAACCCATTTCAGACTGCTTTGACATTACAGGTAGAAAATGCCAGCATGATGATGGTACTTTTGGCATCTCTAGTACGTTTTAAATATTATCCTGCCTCTTAGCTTCATGTTTTTATGTTTGTGTTCAAATACAAACATTGGTAATTATTGCCTRCTGCACCTGGCATATTACAGCAGGCAGGCTGAAAAGTTTTAATATGCATGCAAGTATTTATATTTTGGAAAGAAAAAACTTTTGTAAAATCCTAATCTTTTCTTTTTCTTACTATTGCAATACCCTATAGCAACAATGCTTCATAGATACCATTTTTTCTGCTGTTTTTWAATCAGCATTAATCACAGCTACAGCACTGTATTGTACTTAAAGTTATGTTTGACTGACATCCAGGTACTTGCTGACGTCATATGCTGTGTAGGGAACTACTTATAATAACTCTGACCTTAAAAACAAAAGAAAAATCAAAAGGCAAACCTTGAAGAGCAGCTCCGTAGTGTTTTTGGCGCTGTAACAGATGTGGGCGGAGCCGATGCTGTAGTCCCGACCACCTGAAGCTTGATTGAGACGCAGCAGATCTGTGGTGTGCAACAGAACCGAGTAGAGGGGGTTGATCCCTACGCCACCAGCCACTAACAGTAAGTCCACAGGGGGAKCAGAAGGTGACGGGTCAAAGAAGAAGTCTCCACCGACACGCATCGCCACTCGGGAGCCAACYGTACACTGAGAAGAGAAAACAAACACATTCAGGTGGAGTAGACAACAAAGTGTGTTCACCTCTGGAAATGGTGAAAAGCTTCAGAATGCAAACACTGAACAAAAACAATGCCACTGCACAGGTAAACGCTTTCATCTGCACACGTTCACCTSATAATATGTGCTCTGTTAAACTGCTAAAAAGGTGCGTAAACTACAAACAGGAGCACAATATCAAAACGAGAGAGATCAAACGACGGTCCCAGAGCTGAGAGCTGTAAGTTTCAGAACATTAAAAATGCACACGGCTTTCTCCTGTTTCCTCCTTTAACGGCACAGCAGCCAAAAACTGTTTATGGTCTTTCATTAAACAGAGGCTGCAAACATTTATGTAGACTGTAGAGAGAGAAAGGCAAGACAAATAAACATTTTCAAACAAACACTATTAAATCTGTTTTCTTTGTTTTAGCTGAAAATAAACTGTTTAGAAACAAGTTTATGTATTTTATTGCATGTATTTTATTCAAGGTTTGCCTTTAGATAAGAATAAATAATTAATAATAGCATTCCTTGAGGGCAAGCATACTGCCGCTGCTTTTCATGTTAAAGTTTCAAACAGATTATGTGCAATCTGTGAGCACTCAGAGTACATGTTGTGAATGACTCTCAGCTACTACCACTCCAAATTTTGATGTAAAACTGTTTTATTTTTGTATTGGCTGAGTTTGTTTTGCTGTGGCAGCCATATTGAATTTGGTTGCCTTCTCAAGTTATTCACTTGTCGATTTGCAAACATTGATTCATTTATTAATCTGCTCACTGGTTTGAGATATTTTGATCAAAGACACATTCAGACATTAAAACATTATGAAAAAAAAAAAAGACATTTTAGACAGATTCAGATCCAACAGATCAAGCTAAAGTAGCGGCAGAAATCTGAACAGAAACGGTTTGTAATACCACCTCTTTAAAATCTTATCACTTTATTGTGTTTGTGTGATAAAATAACAAAACTCTCTTTCAGACATTACTTTCTTCTGAATACTGGACTTTATTCTCAACATTCCCACTAAGTTTCCTGAATGCAACACAAGCTTCAGTGTGAGTTTTAACAGCAATGCTTTAGGCGCAACTTGTTCTTTTTTCCAATCATCACGTCAACACAAGCCAWGATGTGAAGACTTTAGTTTGTTTTTTTGAGACATATTGTTTCTAAGAATCTGTACACAAAACATGACCAGCCCACTCACCATGGTGTGGACCCAGTGTGCCGGGGGGTGTTTGGTGTATTTAATGGCCAGTTCGATGACCCCCTCTTGCTGCAGCARACCCGGGCTGGAACACATGGAGAAACCCCCAACCTTGTCCACACCAGGGATGAAGAAATCTACCCTGAAACCCACAACCACATACACCATGTTTACTTGATTCATCACATAAAACAGATTTAWCACATTAAACAACTATGTTCGTTCGAGAAATCAGACATTTTATTCATTTTATTAATCTTGTCAGAGTGATAGCCAAACATTATTTTTTTATTTAACAGGTGCATTACATTCAGTTGTGAGGTCACAGACTGAATAAAAAGTCAACTAAATGCAAAGCTACCTGCCATAAAGTTGGTTCAAATTGTAACACCTCAGTCTTGATTATGAAATCTCTGCAGAAATGCTAAACAGCTGAGCTAATGTTCCAACAACACAACAATGYTCTGCTGTGCTTTACACACAAAAAAGTTGCAAAGTCCGCAACCCTCAAAAGCATTAAAAATCAAGATGAGCTGAGAAAAAAATAAATAAATAAAAACACTTTCCTCATCTCTTCCCACCTGCACATGAAGGAGCAGACAGCATTTTATCYCGTAAACACTTTAAACTCCTCGATTTCCACATATTTACATTAACTATTAGTCAGAGCAAAACAACAGGCTGCCTCACCGCCRCCCACCAACAATATGGGCGCATGTACATGCTGCATTATGGGCACTGATTAACGCTGGCAACACAAACTGGCAGACCAAGTCTCTGRGGAAAAGGAAAGTCTGCTATAAGCATTTATCATTACTTAAAGAATCATTTGAAGCTAATCTGCTTTATAAATCAACTCAAAACCAGTTAAAACGGTTTGTAATAAGTCAAAGTGGAGCAGCTGACTGAACAGTAAGTGTTTGATTAATCTTTGTTTGACAAAAAAAAGACTGATGAGCTTCTTTTTATAGAGATCATAACAACAATACACCATCATGAAAGACTTGAACTGTTGTCACCTCAGGCAGATTATATGACCAAACACTGCCATCAAGTGGTGACTGTGAGTAATTCAGGTTATTTGGGGTTTGCTGTTTTAATAGTGTTGGTAAATTGTACTCCACTTCTGATTTAAGTAATATTTTTTCGGTGAAAGGAAAATGAAGGTGTTGTGTGAGTTATGTTGAATAAGAGCTTTATGCTTCTAGAAATGTCAAATTTGACAAGTGTCTGCTCACCACTGTCCAGCTTTGAAGGTGAAGTCTGGATGGACGGATATTCTCAGTCGTTTTACCGTTTCTGACTCATTCACGATTCCACATACTTGAGCTGGATACAGAGCCTACATTACACCACCAGTTAGACACAAACAGAATTATTTCAAAGTAGATCAACGTATGAGCACAGAGTTTTAATTAGAACATTTCCGATTTAAGCAGTTCTAGTACAAAGTATTAGCTTACATTTTGTCTGTAGTTGCTCGCTGTCCTTTCTAGATGGTCCACTTGTCTTTTGGAGGACATGTTTCTTTTGGTAAGAGCATAGATTACTTGCTTTAATTGCTAAATCTTTTTTATGTACAAACTATCCAGAGAGCAAGCTTTAATGTGGCAATAACTTTGAAGAAAAGGAAAACAGAGCTGAATCTCATTAAAGAACAATAWGCTTAAAAGTCCAGTTCACGTAAATAACTAGGGGATAAAAATGTGACTTTGTATCAGATAATAATTTAATTTTAAATAATTCAAAGTGGTATCTAAGACAAATAAATCTGGATCTAGACAGCTTTGTCAAATACTAAATATTACACAATAGGAATGAAGACAAAATAGCAGGAAAATAACGCATATGTAAGAAAATAATCATTACACACACACACACACACACACACAC